TGCAGAAAGACCTTCCAGGTGAAGTTTCAGCAAATAGCAAAGTTCGAAATTCTGCAGTGGTTGTTATTCAAAAGTGCAGGATAGTGGTGGAAAGGGCTTATGGTTCTACAGCACATTCGTTTCATAAGGTGCTCAATTGCATAATTGTACATCGTAGCGGCTCCGTGTTAATATAATTCAAAGTCTTCGAATCAAGGGGCAAAAAAAGAGTAGTGCTAACTGTTTAGTGTTTGCTTAGTCTTCTACTTCTTATACTATTCTCTTCATGTTGACTTGTTTTCATATTGAGATTTCATATTCTCAGGCTAATTTGTTCTCGCATTTTCCTGTTGTTGCTATTGGTCCCGCTCACGCGCCTATCTATGCATCTATAAATATATCAATGCATGAGAGGGTTACGAACGACGTATCGAACAATTTTGGGGAGGGAGAGCTCATTCTTCCATATGAGAAATCTGTTTGGTCTAGAGTTTGAGAGGAAAAAGCATCAGAAAAAGAAATTAAAACGGAATTTGATTATACTTATATGAAAGTGGTAGCAATGAAGCTGACTTTTGCTGCAGAAACAAATGCTGCGCCACAAAAAAACCGAAATTCGGAGTGGAAATCTACATGTCTATGCCAGTCAACCACGTAGCGTAAAGCGGATTGTATGCTGAACATGACAAAATTTTGAGCACAGTTTTGCCGAGTGAAAACCGTGCTGAATCAACATATGTAGTGAACAGCTGGCAAAACTTAGTCGGCATTAATTGAATGATTTGAAATGGAAATGGAAATTCACGATAAATGCAAAGTTGTGGGAGGCCATGGCGTTAAAAATTATGGAGAGCGTTAGGCTAATTGAACGAGTGAAGAAATTAATGAGAGTAGTGGGATCATTGACCAAAGTGTCAGTCATTTATCTTCAATCGAGCCAGGAAAAGAGACATAAATACGATTAAACTCAAAATGAAGATGCATTTCGGATAAATGGCAGAGGACAAAAACCAATTTTGAAAAAAAAGAGAAAAATTAGGCCTCAGGGAACACAGCTTTGCCAAGAATGAGAGAAGTGGAAGGTTGGGAAGGAGGGAAAAGGAGAGAAGGGAGGAGGAAAGGGAAAAGGATTTTTGTAATGTAGTAAGTACGGAAGTGTTTATAACGTTTGGTTGCAGAAATTTTTTTTAGGTGGAAATTGGGAACAGGGGACTAAGTTTTGAGCTGTAGCAAGAAGAAGTTAACCTATTTTTACTAGTACACATTTGCTAATCTTATTTGAAAAAAAATTAAAATTTGACTATAACAACAACAACAATAATAATAACAAATATCTGATGATTAGCTGAGAATGGATTCTTGTTCCCATCGTTCTTCGTAAATCGAGTTGTCTTATATGAAAAATGAAACCGAGCATTACCAGCCCTCAAACTAATTAATTCTGACCGGACATCTTCAGACTGGTTTTGCAGCTCAATCGTCGTGACTATAAATGTTTATTAATTCAACAAATTCTTAAATCAATAATATTTCTCATTTTCTGTGCGAATGGTTTTTATATTAACAAAATCTATGCTAAACGTAGTATTTAGTGTATAGCTGCTTTTGTTTTATTTTGCTTTAGTATTTTGTGCGTTGAATTAGATACATGATTGAGTTTTGAGCACAGATGAGACCACCGATTAAATGTGAAGCGCAAGCTGATTGACAATCGTCGATCTAAATCACCTAAGACATTCGATTTTACATGCGAAGCTAGACGGGCTAGGAATGTCAGTTTACAGTATATGGGGCAAGATTTGAGAATGTTATTTGCTTGAAAATTTGTAGCAAATTAGAGAGCTTTATTTTATGAAACAAAAGAGATACAAATGGTTATTCAAAGTCTATTGGGACTCACGTAAAAAAAGAATTTTTGAGAAAGTTGAATTAATTATTTACAACATGTACGATAGCTAGACATCTGTCACACCTTAGAGACACGAAAAATCAGAATTGGTTACCCAAAAGAAACATTGTTGAGCAAAGACGGTCATAAACGACCGGAGTTACCAAGGACAAAACCACGGTATAGTCTTTAAAATAGCTATCTAAAATATTGCTCACCTCTCTACTCTTATCATTCCTGAAAGTCTGATTGGGATAAAAAGGGAGGTAAAAAGGGATTTATTTAGTTCTTCTTTAG